TCTTCTGCCTTATTATCCTAGCAGTTAGAGCCTCCATTTTTGATTGTACCTCATTAATAGCCTTTTTGATTTCGACTTGGTTAGATTTTAGTTCTTTTATTTCTCCAGAAAGGGTTTCTCTAATATCTTCCATGCTTTTTTCAAGCCCAGCTAGTATCTTTAAAATCCCACTATTCCTTTTTAATTTATTTATTTATATTTTAAATTTTATTTTATTATGTTATGTTAGTCACTATACAATACATCATTAGTTTTTGATGTAGTGATCCACGATTCATTGTTTTCCGATAACACCCAGTGCTCCATGCAGTACGTGCCCTCCTTAATACCCATCACCGGTCTAACTCATACCTGCACCCCCTCCCCTCTAAAACCCTCACTTTGTTCCTCAGAGTCCATAGTCTCTCATGGTTCATCTCTCCCTCCAATTCCACCCCCTTCCTTTTTCCCTTCCTTCTCCTAATGTCCTCCATGTTATTCCTTATGTTCCACAAATAAGTGAAACCTCCCACTATTCCTAACTTCAACCAAAGAGACAGGAAAACTGAAGGACTCCATAAAAATCTGCTTTTTACTCCTTTTCCTGCTTCTATTCTTGCTGGGACCTGCACCACTACCCCACTTTACACATGATTTGTAATGCAAACAGCATATGTTCTCCTTATAAGGGACAGGAATTAACAATTTCTCTAGAATAGTTAACATCTATGGAAGGACCAGGTGAGAATGACTGGACAAAGCTACCATTTGCTTATTCTAGACAACCATGGCTAGACATCTCAATGTCAAGGCCCCCTGGCTCCAAGGAATAAAACCTGCCCCCTTGTCTTTGTTCTAACTGGTACCTAGATGTCTGAGAGGACATGTATATCAGACCACCATCCTCAATAACCCCCCCCCAGACCCTTAACAAAGATGAGATTCCCTCCTTTCATTTCTTAGTCTCCCAGACACTCTGTCTGTATCTGCTCTCTCTATATCTTCAGGAAACTCTGCTTTCACCTCCTGCTGGCTCATGCTTTATTTCCATCCTTCATGAAACCAAGAACACTATTGGCTGGTCCTGCAGGATCCCCTTTGGGTCTTTGGATCCAGCCTGCCAGCATTACCTGTAGCTTCCTTTAACTCTGAAGGTGTGTCATAATCATTGTCAGCCTTCAAAACCTTTACTAGTTTCCAAAAAAAAAAAAAAAAAAAAAAAGAAAGGATGTACATGATCTTGGAGCTAAATTAAAAGCATCAACTGAAACTCCTATTGTTTCTTTAGGTATTTAATGATAACAAGAAACTTGAGAGAATTCTGCTTCTGTGGTAGGGGAACAGGACTAGAGAAATGTGTCATTAAGGTTCTCCCTTTGCCTACTCTTTCTAGCTCCCCAGAGTGTTGAATGTGAGTTTTCAGGCACCGGATTAGTCATAAGGCCAAGTTTAGGGATGTGATAGGAATGATTAAGAATGACCTACTGTTCAAAAAAATCCCATCAGAAACCATAGCTAAGGCCACAAAGCAGCATGAAACATGCATGGAAAGAGTGTGAGATATACAGAATCCTAGCTGCATAACCTACTAGCTGTGGCCTTGGGCAAGCCATTTTATCTCTCTGAACCTCAATTTTCTCTAAAATGGTTGTAAAGCTCATATCTAAACATGCTGTTTCCAGGTCATGAGGTCAGCCTTGTCTAATAAATATGGTGCCAATCTTTCTTGGTCCCAGACTAATTTTTTGTAGGACTTTAAGTTTCCTTCGATGAACCTGAAAATCTCACTGCCTCCTTTGGTCCATTTAAACTTTCAAAATAATTTAAATATTGTGACAAAAATAAATCAAAGCAAAAGTAACTGAATATTTTAAAATTTACATAGCTACCTCTACATCCTTGGAAATTCCATATACCCTTTCAAGATGGGGGTGGTCACAGATCTATACTTAGGCTCACACTAATGTGTTCTCCCTGCCCCAACAATACCTCTTTTTACAATCATTCCAGCTCCAGGTCAAATTTACACATTTTTCCTCCTCAAGTATTCCCTGAGTGCATCCTCTAGCTCAAGTCATTGCAGTTTCCCTTTTCTGAATGCTAGCACTGATAATGAAGACCCTTACACAACTTAAACTCAGCCACCACACTCCTGAGTTACATTAGTTCTGTTTCACAGCTTATAGTCTGCCCATTAAGCTGTGCCCAGTAGTGTACCTTCCTTACTCTTGCCTCACTCAGGGGCTGCCCAGGGAAAAACAGCTGACAAAGCCTTAGAAGTTTCTCTGCTCATCTTTTGCACATGGCAAGGGGACAAAGCCCTCTGGAGCCCTGGTTGTCTAAGGTCCCAAATGCCACTTGTTAATGGTGGTCTGAGTGCTTTCATAGGGACATGGTGAATAAGTGCTCACCACAGGTGCTATTTAGGTCATCACAAGTTCCGTACCTAATAGCATGCCTGGTCATCACAAGTTCCCTACCTAATAGCATGCCCGCCTTCCTTCTTTTCCCTTCCACTCACCCAAGCTGGAGGATATCAAGGGAGCCAGTGCTTCTCCAGAAGGTCCCTGGCAGTCTGCAGACAAGCACCAAGCCTAGCCATGGATCCAGCAAGGAGCCTACTCCAATTCCTGACATTATATAATTCAAACAACTAGGAGATAATTGAATTTGGTCTCACTGGGTATTCATGGGGTTTAGTAAGACACTGTAAAACATTTTGTATAAATGACAGATGCTGCAATCTGGGAAATGCAACTCTTAAGGATTGCAGCCTGTCTCACTTGCTTGTCAGTAAGGTCTTTTTAGAGAGGGGCCCTAGTTCCTGCCCACCCCTAGCCTTGATCAGCCTGGGTTTTCTCTCCAGAGCCTGAGGAAGGCACATGGGGATGGGACTGGACTTATTTTTCTCATTATTGCATTCCAACACCTAGGGTACATTCTTAATAACAAAATAATAATAGCAACAACAATGGTAACAGTTAACACTTAGCATATATCATGTGCTAGACACTATTCCGAATGCTTTGCATTTCCCCCCAGCTTTATTGAGGTATAATTGACAAATAAAGATTATATATATTTAAGGTATAAAATACAATGTTTTGATATATGTATACATTGTGAAATGATCACCACAATCAAGCTAATTAACATATACATCATCTCACATGGTGACTTTTTTTGTGATGATAACACTTAAGACCTACTTTCTTAGCAAATTTCAAGTACACAATACAGTATTGTTAGTGATAGGCACCATATTGTATACTAGCTCACCAAAACTTATTCATCTTGCATATGAAAAGTTTTCACACTTTGACCAGTATCTCTCCATTTTCCAAATCCTCACCAGTCCCTGGCAACCACCATTCTACTCTCTGCCTTTATGACTTCAACAGCTGTAGATTCTACATGAAGTGAGATCATATGGTATTTGCCTTTCTCTGTCTTATTTTACTTAGCATAATGTCCTCCAGGTTCATCTATGTTGTCACAAATGACAGGAGTCCCCCCCTTTTTTTAAGGCTGAATAATATTCCATAGTGTGTGTGCATTCCTGTGTGTGTGTGTGTGTGTGCACACGTGCGTCACATTTTCTTTATGTATTCATCCCTCGGCAGCTGAATGCTTTGCATTTATTAGCAAATAATCTTCACAACAATCCTACAAGTTAGGTACTGTTATAACCCCGTTTTATGAGGAACTGTAGATAGAACAGTTAAGAAGCTTACTCTGGAACAAAAGCTACTAAATGGTAGAGTCGGGCTTTAGTCCAGACTCTCTGGTTCTAAAATCTGTGCTTATTTAACTACTGCATATACTGTCTCCCATAAAAGATTTGCTGAATGAATGAATAGTAACACCAAATATACAGTAATAATATCAATAGCTAACATTTACTAAATACCATGTGCCAGGCACTGCAACTATATTGTTTCATTTAACCATCACAACCTCTCTTTCTATGTGGATACCATTATGATTTCCATTTTGCAAATGTGAGGCACAGAGAATTTGCCCAAGGTCACACAGCTCATGGGAAAAATTGGTGCCCTTCTGGCTGGCCCTAGAATCCATGCTCTTAACACTATACTTCACTGCTTCCCACTACCTTAGGTGGTCCTCCTCAACACCTCTTGAGATGAATTCTATCATCAGCCTGATTTGGCACTGAGGAAAATAAGAACATAAAGTTAAAAAAACTTGCCCAAGGTTAGAGACAGTAGAGCCTAGGACCCAGATATTTTGGTTTCAAATCTCCATCTCTTTTCTGCTCTATCCCTAATCTCTGTTGCTATTGTTGCATTTCTGAGTCCCAGATGGTTCATCCTCCAAGTCTGGCCCTTCAGTACAAGAAAAAGTGGTCCAATGCAGAAAGTTCCTTGAACAGAAAAAGTCCTCCCTCCAGCATTATTATACTCTATTTAATTCTGGATCCTCCCAGAATACAATGAAACCAACATAAATAACTAGTAGTTATGACACAGAAGACAACAGAGTATGTCAAGGCTGGTATAATTAAAAACAAATGATACAGGGGAAAAGCTGTTTGGGACAACTTCAGAACTGCAGGAACATTAGTGGATGACTGAGGAGAGAGGAAAGGGGATCTCTACCCCTCCTCTGGAAGAAAAAAAAAAAAAAGGAAAGGAGAAAAAAGAAAAAATCCCCAAAGCAGCAAAATAATTTCCAATATAATCATCTCTGGAAGGAAATAACACAACATATGCATAACTAAAGTAACAGGGCAATGGATGGAGGATCAGAGACAGCCATCATGGAAGACAAGAAGAAAGAGAAAAAAAGAGTCTTATTCTAGATTTTTTAAAAGAAAACTGACAAAGAGGGAAAACAGCAAAAGTTAAAGAAGGAATCACAAAATTAGAAGCCACTGGCATCTTTTCCCACCTACTATAATGACCACTTCCCTGGGAGCGGGGGATGATGGAGAGGGAGGGGCTTATGCTTCTGAGGTGCCCATCTCCCATCTCCCTCAGGAAAGAAGAGGTTGGGGTTACCTTCTTGCAGAGGACCATCTGGTGGTCAAACAGGAAGAAGACCCGCTGCTGGTTGCGGCCATAGGGCTGGTAGATCCAGGCCATTTCCCCAGTGTAGATCAGCTCCGAGCTCCTGTCTAGGATGTCCTCACCCTGGGAAGAATATGTGATAGTGAGAGGCAGCCAGGCAGAAGGGACAGACCTGTCACCTGCCTGGAAGCACCTAAAACTAGGCATAGACCGGGGCAGGAGGAGTACAGAAAAGGCCGGGTGGGGAAAGAGGGATAGAAAGGACTCCTGGGAATCCTTAAAAGGTTCCATGAGCTGGAAAGACCCATACTCTTGTTCACCCTCAGGCCAAATGAGCCCTACCACCCAGGACTGCTATAGTCTCTCTATGTCAGCTGCTCTCTAGCCCTACAGGCACCAAGGTTCATCCTGGTTCCATGAGGTTTCTCTCTCCCTCTCTCTTTCCTTGGCCTTTTCTCTATGAATTTGTCTTTCTGCACAAGTCCTTCATCCCAGGCCTAGTCTCTTAGTCTCCTTCTTATACCTGAAGAATAAGCCTAAGGAAATAATAGAAGTCTCTCTGCTTCCCAAATGAGTAAAAAAGAGGACAGGGGAGGGCAAGAAGGAGACAATGACAGAGGGAGAAAGAGAGAGTACATACAGTTTCTTAATTTTTTTTTCTTCTCCTCTCAGTTCATTAAAATATATTGATCAAATAGGAAACTTCACAACCACATGATTCTTTGGTCTGTTATTCATAGCCTGAAACCACTTCCCCTCCTTGCTACATAGTCAGACAGGAAAAAAAAAAAAAAAAGGTACCAACACATCTGACTCCTAGCTAACTCAATTCTACAGAGTTTCCAAGGCCCCTTTTCACAAAAACTCTGCTAGGTTAGAGGTATGTGGGGATATATGTCAGATGCCAAGCCAGATTTGGCCCTTGTTCTCAAGGAGCTCACAGTCAGTGGAGGAAACTAATGCAGGTGTGCCCAGAACTCTTGGAACACGAGGCAAGCCACACCAAAGCCCGCCACAGGGGTAGGGGGGTGGGGGGTGGGTTCCAGGACCTATATAAAGATAGGGATAAAAATCTGGTCCAGAACTCAGGAGAATTAATATTAGCACCTATAGGGGTGCCTGGGTGGCTCAGTCAGTTGAACATCTGACTCTTGATTTTGGTTCAGGTCATGATCTCAGGGCTGTGAGACTGAGCCCCGTGTTGGGCTCCATGCTGGGTATAGAGTCTGCTTGAGATTCTCACTCCCATTCCCTTTGTCCCCCCTCCCCCCATCTAAAAATATATTAACACCTATATGCATCAGACTTTTGCTACATACTTTCACTCTATCTCTTCTGAGGCACACAAGAATACTGGGAGGTAGGTAGTCTTACTCTCATTTTATAGTCCAAGGTACAGAAATGTCAGGTGATCAGCTAAGATCACCCAGCTCATTAGCTAGATACCCATGACCCAACCCCAATTCTGTGGCTCCAGAAAGTATACTCACTCTTGCCACTATATTATGCTATCTCCAGTCCAGTCAGTCCCTTCCTCTCTCTGGGTCTCAGTTTTTCCTGATGTTAAATGTGGTATATGAGGTTGATCTCCAAGGTCTTAGCCCTGATACTCCAATGTTAAGATCTCAGCCTTGTACCCAAAAGCTTCAAGTCAGGGTTAGAGATGGAGATCCCTGCATCCCCCCCAGCAATAATTAGAACAGCCTAGACAGGGCAGTGGGCCAAAGAGAGGGGTAGCTGGAAATGGTATTCTTCAGCATATCACTTTTTTCAGTCTAAGGTATGAGAAGGAAAAGGGGAGCTAAGAGGAAATATTTTGTAATAATATAACCTCAAAAAGAAAGCTCACAGATACTGTGACTCCAGACTCCATTTCAGGGGTACCTTGGAACTTGAGTAAACATTCATCCTTGAGGGGCCCACATACTAACACAGAACTTCTGGAAGAGGAAGCTCTCAGGGGGAGGGATTTGTGCAGGGCTTTCCTGTTAGATGGATGGGAAGATGAGAGTGATAGCAGTCTGCCATGTCCCACCCTGAGGCAGGTCAGGAAGATGTGCCACAGTCCATTTTGAATATATATAAAGTGAAAGAAAGCCATAAAAACAGGCCAATGACAAAAAAGTTGGCCAAGATGACTTTTTTTTTTTTCCAGGATGACTTTTAAAGTTACACCCACTGTACCAGCCAGGAACACTCCTATTTTAAGTACTTGCCACATATAACTCCACCAAGCTAAGAAAGGGAAGGAAGGGAGAAAAAAAAAGGAAAGAAAGAAAGAAAAAGAAAGAAAGAAAAAAGACAGACAAAAGAAAGAAAGAGAGAAGGAAGGAAGGAAGAAAAAGAAAGAAGAAAGAAGAAAGAAATAAAGAGAGAAAGAAAGAGAAAGAAAGAAAGAAAGAAAGAAAGAGAAAGAAAGAAAGAAAGAGGAAAGAAAGAAAGAAAGAAAGAAAGAAAGAAAGAAAGAAAGAAAGAAAGAAAGAAAGAATACCCTTATGCTCACCATGCTGATTGATGTCAGGTTACTCATATATCCTCTCTGTGTGTCAGTTTTCTCATATTTATTTTTTTAAATTCTAAGTTCAATTTTTATTTCTAAAAAAAAAGGTAGTCAAAAGAATATAAAACACATGTAAATTATATTACTGAGTGAGCTTCAAGTGGAGCTTGACTCTGCAAAGACTGTCTAGAGGTAGAGGGAAGGCCATCTTGTTCCTGAGCTGGCTAGATGTTCTGAAGGAAAAGACCAGCAAGCCACTGGCAACCCCACACTGGTGCTGGCTATAGCCACGTCCTGCCAATTTCTGACAATTTGAACCCTGGAAAGAGACAAATTGTGCTGAGAGAGGATCACGGTGGGGCTGTACTACATTTCCTCGTCTTTAAAATGAATTTCCTACATTGAATTTCCTCATCTTTAAAATGAGGGTAATAACAGTACCAATCTCATTTCACTGTTGTGAAGATTATGTAAGTTAACATTTATAAAGTGCTTAGGAGAGTACACTTCACACTGTAAGTTCTACGTAAGTGATAGCTATTATCTTGATTATTATTGTGCACTCTATAACCTATGTCACATATTCCTATTAATACTCACAAGAACCCAATGATGAATGTACTGTTATTACCCCCAAAACCAAGGTCAGAGAAATTAGAAGTAATTTGCGCAAAGAATCCAGAATCCAGGCCAGACTCCCTCAAAAGCCACCAAACCACAGTATAATGATAATCCTTAGTGGAACAACTAGCTACCTTGGAAGATTTCTGAGGTGAGAATCTCAGAAGACTTGGGTTCTGGGCCCAGTGTTGCCACCAACTCACTCTGTGCCCTTGGAAAGTAGCTTAACCACTCTCAATCTGTTTTCTCAATTGAACAATGGATAATACAACAGTTCCTGCTTGGTTCACTTCACATGGCTGCTTGAGAGCAAAAATCAGATCACATAAGGGAAATAGCCCTCTCGGAGTTCAGAGTTCTCACCCTTTGCCTCTTCTACCCCACTTGCACCATATATTACTTTGCCTTGCCCCCCAAAGTGCAATCTCTTCCCACTGCCACCTCCCCCATGGACATTCTGTTTTCTTCCATTCCTCCAGGATTTTGCACATACTGTTCCCGATGCCTGGAACATACTTGCCCCAGTGGAAAACCAAGGCCACTCATTCATCTCAATAGCCCAATGCCCAACACCCCATTCTAGTTATAGGCTGATTGTTCTAATGTGAGGTTGTGGCCTGAACAGATCCAGGGAAAGAAGGACAAGGGAAATGCCCTAATTTTCATACAGTTCATTTTCAATGCTGCCTATTGACAGGACGGCAGGGAAATAACAAACTCCTTGTCCCAGAAGTATGCCTCATCAAACCACCTCAGCTTCTAAATAGATACTTTTTCTGCTTCCATCATGTTGGGTATTTGTGTTTCCTCCAACTTTTTGGATTCAATTATCCAGTGGTAAACTGGAACAGGCCTTTGGATATTACACAAGCAGGCTGTTAGGGGAGGGGTGCCACCACAATCATATACAGTCAAATTCCCAAACATGAGCTACAAATCTGGGCTCCTGGTAAAAATCTCCAGGGGAAAAAAAAGATTAAAAGGAAGCTGCCAGGGATATATTCCTTTTCCCTTCCTGTCAAGTGGATCTAATGAGTGTTAAGGGCAGCAATGTAACAGTTCAACCAAACATAAGCATCAGAGAAATTAGAAATGTAAATTTCCCTGAAACTGTGGTCTGTGAGAACTGGTTCTTCTCCCTGTTGCTCCCCTAAGCCACTCTAAGGTATTGATTATTACTTTGAGGTATGGGTGATATTTTCACTCATCCATTTAATTTTTAGGAGCCCTGGGATATGGGACAGAGCAGGGGGTACTTCGTGAACTCTAGTTCTCATGGGTGGGGGGGAGTGAGCAAGGATGATAACTGGAATTGAACAAAAAGACCCTGAATATTTATGGAATAAGTTGAGGCAGGGTCAGGTCTGGATATAATACAAGGTCTCCTACTCTCTAGCCAGATGTTCTGATTTATTGAGTAGGTACCGTTGCCTGTATGCTGCCAATCCTCAACCCTGTTTCCCAATTCCTCTTCAAAGCAGATTAAGCTCTGAAGATTTCCCCTATGACTCTTCTTTTTAATTTGACAAATTAAGCTGAAATTATTATGTGGATGCTTTGACAGCCACCCTGTTTGTTCAAACATTTGGGGGAGGGCAAGAAATCATTTTCTTGATTTGCAAGGCTTGTCCAGAGCAGCCCTCAGCAAGCTGGGAGGACCTCTCTTTGCTTGTGCGACTGCTTGGACAAGTAGAACATACAAAGAACCTATACCAGGGAACTGGTGAGGTTTGGCTACTTATGTCAATAGCTAGCAAGCCATGGAGTGGATATGTCCTATTGCCTTTTGGGGATGGTCCTCCAGCATTCATCCACCTTTAGCCATACTAGGGTTTGGATATTCGCCCCAAGGAAGTCTTACTGCCTTGCTTAGATATGGACCCTTTACTGCAAAAACAAGTCCCTGCAGTATCACAAAGGAAAGCAATTGGGGTGTGGGAAGCAGAAGGTTGGAAGAGTATGTAGTGCAGCAGAGAAAAGAATACCACAGAGAGAATCTGGAGACCAGATTAAAATTTTAGCTTTGTGGTCTTGGTCAGGAATAGGCTTCTCAGACTTCCACCATCATTACAATGCATGTGTGTGTGTGTGTGTGTGTATGTGTGTACATGCCAGAATTGTTGATGGGAAGGGTCGTCCCCTAAAAGCCCTGGTGACTGAGTCTTGAAGACTAGATATGACAAACATAAGACACTTTAGGCCTGCCCTCTGAAATGCACCCATCAGGATTCGCTGGAGAAAAGCTTCCTAGAAGACAACCCCTCTAGAGCTAGTAAGTTCCACGGTGACCCCAGAGTCTAAAAAGGGAACCATGAGGAATTTTTCTTCTTGCCAAATTAGATGAAGAAGGGCTTTACCAAGCAGCAGGGTGTCAGGGTTGTACATACGGGCTTGGTTGAAATTAGAAGACCAATCAATCATGCTAACAAAGGAGGCAGAGAGTAACTGTTCTCCCATCAATCCTGGCTCAAAATCATCTTTTTGTTTCCCACCCCCCACTTCTAGACAAAAACACATGAAATTCCTTTTTTAGATGCTGAGTCTTTAAATCATAGTTCAGTGTTTTCGAGTTTGGTATTAATAAGGCTCCCTGGATAGGCCAAGGAATTTCAAGCTATTGTTGGTCCTCCATGGCTCTACCTTCAAGGACTGGAGGCCCAGAGCATATGGAGGAATTAGCTATTCCAGGCATTAGGAAGAAGGAAGTTGTTCCAGGGAATATGAAGACAACTGCTGCTGGGAACCTCCTTTTTACAGAGAACCCTGCAGGAGTAGAGAGAAAGAGGCTTGTTAACCAGCCACAATTTCAGAGTGCCTTGGAGTTGATGGGTTTGCTAGAGGTCATTTGGTCAAGGGAAGGAGGAACCATGATTCACTAATAAGTTTGGACCAGTGTTGGTTTCCTCTTATGAGCAATAGGGTCTCTTTATATAGATTCATTCCTTTCTCTTCATCTCAAAAAATCACTCCTTTTTTCTACTCTTATGGGGACATTATCCTTTAAATAAGACTAAAAATATGCCAAATGCTCAGAATTGTGGTCTTTTCCAGCCATCTACATTAAAAAGGATCAGAGGTAGCAGAATAAATGAAAGATGATTTTTTCTGGACTTTGGTAAAATAGCTGTTTGCAAGGCTGATGCTTAATCTTCTTAGAATGTGCTACTGCTTGAAATGTTAGGGAGATACTACTTCTCAATCATAGGAAATGATACCAGAGTTGAGGCAAGTGGAATAGGGAACTGGTTCAACTTCTGCACTGTGACTATGAAGCTTAAGTTTACTGCCCCCTCCCTGGTAGAATGACCAGCCTTTCCCATCTTGGTTATGTTAGCCTGTAGACTATCAGATTTCACAATTTGGGTCTGAGAGATAAACGTGAAATGCCATGGCCCCTGGTTCTCTTGGTGGGCACAAGAGACAAACACTAAATGGTGTACTCAACACACATACCTATGACGCCTTATAATTCATGGCTCTGTTTCTATTGAACAGAAACCCAAGGACCTCAACAGAGCAGTGACATGAATAGAAGCAAAATCTCCATTTATTTGTTAGGTTGTATATATCCTCTGCAAGTGAGTATCTAGGAAAGGAAGGCTTTAGTGACTTCATTCACTGAAGACTTTCTGAGTTCAGAGAAGTTGTGGCTGTTTCCAATGAAATAGGAGGCTGTCAGGAATTAATTTTATAAGCAAATGATAAAAAACAGAATTTGGTGGGTCGACTGGGCAGAAATGATGAACTTGGCCTCAAGTGTGCAAGCTTGGGTAGACCGAGTAAATGTGTCAGGCAAGGTAATCTCACCAGTGGAAAAAAGAAGCATGTTGGCTGCCCTGCACAAGAGAACCATCATTATATTCTGTGTCTGGGAGTGGATTAGTACATACCACTTCTTATCCAAGTGTTCACCTGGTGGTGATAAAACTCCAGGACTGGAAAGAAGCTCGAAAGTCTATTGATTCAATCCAATTTTTTCCTGGCAACACCCAAAGAGATGAACCTTTCCTTTCTTAATGAAGTGTTGCCTTAAAGATTTCTCCAACCTTCTTAGAAAGCTATTCAAGTACACAACACCTCTCATTAGTAGAAAGTTTTGCCTTGGCTCTAATCTAAATCCTTTCTGCTGTTCTTTAAATTTAATTCCTTTTCATCCATCTTAGGCTAAGATGTGATGTTCTAGCTAACCTATTCAGACTCCCCAGTACCCCTGTTCATAAAGATCGTACCTCCCAGTCTAGGACAGATGCCTGCCACTGGGCAATCTTGTCAATATTCTCCAAACGCCGCTTGCGCTCATTGATCTGCTGAGTCACGTTTCTCATGACAGCCAGAGCAGCTGCCACATACCTGTAGTCACTGTGAAGACACAAAAGTACAAGTTGGATGTATCAATGTGTTAGAGAACCAATGTGTTGGGTGCCAACCCTAACATCCATTCTTCTCTTCCTACTTAGTGACAGAGCCCTGATTTTCAGATGGAACCCATGTCACATGGAGTAAAAGATTACATTTCCTATCTTTCTTTACAGTAAGGGGTGACTATGTGATTAGTCCAGTGATATGCAAATAGAAATTTGGGGCAGAGATTTTCAGAAACCTCCTTTAAGGAAGATAGCTAATGCTTCTTTACCCCTTACTCAATCTTGATGCTTGGAATGTAGATATGATGGTTGAAGTTCTAGCAGCTATCTTGGACCGTAGGAAAAAGTCCCTACTCCTAGGGATAGGATAACAGAAAGTTGGAAGGAGCCCAAGTTTTTGATGACCATAGAGCTACCATAGCAGTCATGGACTGCCTACCTGCAGACATTTTTTTTTTTTACATGAAAGGGAAATAGACTCCTATCTTTCTTATAGCATTATTTTTGCATCCAATCTGATACAACCAGCCAAGCATCAAGAAGGGAACCTTATACATGGCATGGTCCAGAGCTTTACTATCCCTTCTACCACTTATTTCTAGGGAACTCTGCCCAAAGTCATTGTGAAATAATATCTACTCTTTTCCTCCAGTACAATATACAGATAGGATGTAGCACAGTGTTTAAGAACAGACTCTGGATCCATACTCTTTGGGCTCAAACCCTAGTTTTGTCACTGACAAAACTGGTCTTTGGCAAGTCTCACTGACTCTCTCAATGACTCAGTTTCTTCATATGTGAAATGGGAGAATTACAGGAGGGTTTGTTGAGGGTTTAATCATCCACATAAACTGTTCTGCTCTTGGCCTATTGTAAATGTTAGCAGTATTATTAGTACAAATCAAACATTTCTCTAGGCACCACATGGGTTACCTCTCAAAACCTCTAGTCCCAGAAGTGTAACTTTTAGGCCCAGTTTCCTGGGACTTTGGATGGCCTACTTGTTGAAGGTTATACCATCCTGCCCAGTTTTCTCTGCTTGTCTGATCTGATTTCCAATCAAATGGTCCCTGTGAAAGGCATATTGAAAGTGAGATCCCAGGCATTTGGTGGAGCTACAATAGACTGAGAGGGCAAGAGGACGAATTATGATTCAATCTTAACTAACCTTTCCTTAGAAAAGCTAAACATGCTTTGTGGTCAATAACTTGCTCACTGTCCCAGCACTAATTAGATAAAAGAAAGGAGGGGAAAAAGATACGCAGCAACTGTTTTTTCTTTCCTAATACATTGAAGTGTGGGGTGGTTGACAAATCAGAGGCACAGAGAAGGCAGTTCTAACTGCCACGTCAGACACCATGTAGTACTTCCTCTTAGACGGCCTCCCTATGTTTTGTGAACACCTGCCAGACCATAGTCTTCAAGTGCTACTAAATTTTACCACCTCCAGTGATGGGAGGCTCACTATACATCCTAACCAGTTTATTCTGTCTCAAGGCAACTTTGTTAAAAAAAAAAAAAAACTCTTAAACTCTTATTTATTCTGAGCCTCAATAAATGTTAGCTATTACCAGTTTTTCTTCTGGATCCAACCGCTGACTTATTTGAACTCATGGTTGACTAATGTTTCCTAAGTCTCTTTAAATTATGCTGTCTAGGGGCACCTGGGTGGCTCAGTGGGTTAAGTGTCTGCCTTCGGCTCAGGTCATGATCCCAGGGTCCTGGGATCGAGCCTCACATCAGGGTCCCTGCTCAGCAGGGAGTCTGCTTCTCCCTCTGCCCTTCCCCATGCTTTCTCTCTCTCTCTCTCTGAAATAAATAAATATTTGAAAGATAGGCTGTCTAGAAGCCCCATCTCTCTAAGCCTGTCCTTGAACTCTGTCTCCCTCTTGATTTCTTAGACCGAACTACAAAATCTTACATTTGTTCTTTTTTTTTTTAATTCAATTAGCCAACACATAGTACATCATTAGTTGTTGATGTGGTGCTCAATGATTCATTAGTTGCCTATAACACCCAGTGCTCATCACATCGTGTGCCCTCCTTAATGTCCATCACCCAGTTACCCCATCCCCCTACCCACCTCCCTTTCCGCAACCCTTGGTTTGTTTCCCGGAGTTGAGTCTCTCATGGTTTGTCTCCCTCTCTGATTTCTTCCCATTCAGTTTTCCCTCCCTTCCCCTATGATCCTCTGCACTATCCCTTATATTCCACACGTGAGTGAAACCATAAAATTGTCTTTCTCTGATTGACTTATTTCACTGAGTGTAATACCTTCCGGTTCCATCCATGTCGATGTAAATGGTAGGTATTCAGCCCTTCTGATGGCTGAGTAATATTCCATTGTATATATGAACCACAACTTATTATTATTAAGATTTTATTAATTTATTTGACAGTACAAGCAGGAGGAGCAGCAGGGAGAGGGAGAAGCAGGCTCCCGCTGAGCAGAGAGCCCAGCATGGGGCTCAGTCCCAGGACCCTGGGATCATGACCTGAGCTGAAGGCAGACGCTTAACCCAACTGAGCCACCCAGGGATCCCTGAACCACAACTTCTTTTTCCATTCATCTATTGAAGGACATCTTGGCTCCTTCCACAGTTTGGCTATTGCTGCTAGGAACACTGGGGTGCAGGTGTCCCTTCTTTTCACTACATCTGTGTCTTTGGGGTAAATACCCAGTAGTACAATTGCTGGGTCATAGGTTAGTCCTATTTTTAACTTTTTGAGGCACCTCCATACTGTTTTCCTGAGTGGCTGTACCAGCTTGCATTCCCATCAACAGTGTAAGAGGGTTCCCCTTTCTCCACATCCTTACCAAAATTTTTGTTTCCTGTCTTGTTAATTTTAGCCATTCTAACATTTGTTCTTGATATATTTTATCTTTTTACAGTTACTTGCTTCAGCCTATGGGCAATCTATTGGGCTCTGTATGACTATTAAAGTTTCTCCCTGGCAAGGTTATCTGAGCCTGCCATTTGGAAGCAGAGTAGGGTGATGACAGAAGAGGTAGGTGCAGTGTAGAAGCTGCTAACATAAATAAGTGCCCCTGTTCTTTGGGCCCATTTACTATCTCCCATGCCATTCCTCTTCCTGGGTTGAAGGCACCAGGAAAATGACTTAAGCCACTTTGGGGAAGGTAAAGCATAAAATTACACTGTCCAATATGGTAGCCATTAGCCACATTTATTTAAAATTAAATATAGTTAAAAATTTAGTACTTCAGTTGCACCAGCTATATTTCTCAGTACTCAGTAGTCGTATGTAGCCAGTGGCTACTACATTGGACAGCACAGATATAAAACATTTATATTATTGTAGAAAGTTCCATTGGACAGCACTGGAATGAGAATGCCTATTACCTCTGATCCCATGTACTACTCAGCCATGGATTCATTATGGTCACTGTGCCATACTGTCATTCAACCTTTGCCATTTTTAGCTGTCTTTCTTACAATGGTTAGAGGGGGAAGGTCCCCATTTTTAACCTGCCCCACTAGCTTTAGGAGTGGGTGAGAGAAGAAGTGAATAGTTGTGGTCTCACCTAAACCCTGCTCAGATCCCCCAGGCCTTCAGATGAGGTCTGGGCCCAGCCCCTTGATAAGATCTACTGAACCAAGATTGTCTTGTTCCAGACACGTCAGCTAACCTCCCTCTTACACAGTCTTCCTTCCTGTCAGCTTAAGAAATGTTGGAAGGCAGGGTGGGGACACATCACCCTTCTGTAAGCAAAGGCAGTATTATTATCCATTTATTACTCTCCATCCATCTAATCTTCTCCCTTAGAGGCCACTCTGAGTGCTTGCATTTCAGACCTACTTGTCCAAACACCTATTTGACTAAGCCTTCTAGCTGGCAGCAGCCTCTAATTAACTTCAAATCCAAGCTACTCTGACATGCATCACAGGAGCTGTCATCTTAATACAGCTTCCTGAAGCCGGCCAAAAGAGGTGCCCCATGGCCTGGGGATAGTGCTGGGACTGACACTGGGACTGTCACCCTGAAGGAGGACAGGTATTCATGTATCTTTCCAATACCTGAGCCACTCTCTCAGCACTCTGGAGCTCAGGAGGTAGAAAGAGGGGGGAAAAGGGACCCAGAGGGCAAGAAGACCTTGAGGCAGGGACTCCAATAACAAGGTGAAGGACCATAAGGATGGCAAATCCCAGGTAGATATCCTATCTTACTGGCCCCACTAAACTCAATAAGGTCCTGGGGTTGTTTTGGCTTAAGAAACTCACACAGTTTTGGGCTGTGCTTTGAAAATGGTCTTTCTGGGGCTCTTGAAAGCAATTGTGCAATAATATAATTTACCTATTAATATCAGTCCACAAGTATGATTTTTAGAGCCTCCTGCTAGATTCCATGAAACAGATACTCAGGAGTAGGTGTTGATGAGAGATGAGCTGTAATATAAAAACATTTGAGAACCACTCTTTGAATATCCCAGTTTTAAAACCATTGGTTCGAAGGTTGCTCCTCTGAGATTTATGTACAATAATGATCACTTCTGGTCACTTAGCACCATGAAGTGTAACAGTGGAGGTAATTTAGGCAAATGACATCATGGGCTGGCAGAACTGGAAGAGGCCTTCCAGACTGCCTAGTACAATGGCTCATAAATATTTGGGGGCATGAAAATTACCTGGAGGGCTCTTTACAAAGCTAGGTTCCCAGACCACTGTCCACACTTTACATCACTGCTTTGCCACACAGACTTGCTTTCTGGGCCTCAGTCTTTCTAGCCATAAAATGAGGAAGTCTGACTAGAAGACCTTCCTTTAAGGGCTTTCCATTTTAGGTGCCATAAATATTTTCCATTTTTATTTTTAAAATATCCTAATTTTAGTGGAAGTTCTTCAGTGTCCCATTAGCTCTCACAAGAAACTGTATCCTTAGAAAACTTGGGACTCAGTTCTAGCAATGGTCTGTATTAAGTCTTCTAAAATAACATTTAGTCACCTGCAAATTTCATTTCTAATGAATACGCCCACTATCCCCCAGCTAGTAAACAGACTCAGGGAGAAGGGAACAGAGTCCTCTTTTGTAAGGTCCTTCACTATCTGCCTCCCTCATAACCAACACATCATGGCAGGCAGAGCTACCGCTGGTGGCATTCTCACACAAGTGTTACCACATTTGGATTCAAATCTGAAATTTGTCCAAGGCTCCAGAAACTGAAGCACATGACCATGATTTGCTAAAGAAACACCATCAACTTAAAAATGAACCCAGGGACTGGCCTTGAGCTTAGCATAAACAAAACCAACTGGCCCATACCTGTGGCCTTACACAACTAGGTCTGGAAGTCAGCTCCAAGGAAACCAGGTAATGGAGCCAAGTGAAAGTAGGAAGTGGGTCTCATGAGAATTGGATAGAAAGCTAAGAGAAACTGGACAGAAGTCTTCTTTCTTCTTGGAGGGTTCAATCAGGAAGAGAGCTGAATAAGTCAAAGATCAGGAATTTAATACTAATTAAAGGCAGGCTATAAAAAGGCTGAGGGCTCTAGGTTATAAAGTAAAGCATGTGAAAGAGTGGAGGGGGTGGTTCATTCATTGTTGGAGATGACTCTCAGCATATACCTTACTTGTAGGATCATTTACTGGTAGGTCATTTCCATTCAGAGAGAGCTAAGTTTCTTGGTCATTTTTGGATTGGTTTTCTTAAAAAAATACTGAAAATTAAAAAAAAAAAAAAAGCTTCAGGAGAAGTCTCAAATCTGTTTACCTCCCAGCCATGCTCTGAGTCTAAAGGGAAGGTAGAGTTGGGATGAGGCAGAGGAGGGTGGAAAAGACTAAAAAATACCAGGGATATAGCCTTGCAGAATAAATCTAAGGTCACTACAAGTTATGCAGGCTATTATTAGGGTATTGAATCTATCACACAAACAGAGAAGAATAGACCGTTGAACAATTATTCCATCTGGATTATTTCATTTCGCTAAATTTAGGTCTAAGGACACGGCTAAGCTCCCTGAAGGCAGGGTGTAAGTTGTGCAATAATAATGCATACTGATTTTTTGTGCATAGTGATTCCCAGGTTTATAAGAAATTCTCACAAGCATTCTTCTGCTTTACACACACAATAACCTTACGAGGTAAGCAAAAATATATCACCATCCCATTGTGCAGAGAAGTTAACAGAAGGAAGCTCAGAAAAAGCTAAAGGACATATATTCTTAATAAAGACCAACATGTAGATGAGGCTCCCCTAACTCCTGCTTCTCTCTATCTTTTACCTATGGTCCTGGGCAGTATATTTGAGGAGCTCAGCCAGTTGTAAGGGATATTTGCAGATCTTCTGCACTGGAGTCAAAAGGAAACCATCAATAGCAATATCGATCATCTGCTGCAAGAGGCGACAGGCCTCAAAGAAGTGCTGGTAGCGGCTGTCCTTCATTAGTTTGGAGAGTTCCATGCAGGCGTCCAGGTGGTTGTTACAATACTCGGAGTATATCCAGAATCCATCTTGCTATGAGCACAGGAAAAATGGAGAGAAAAAAAAAAGTCTACTGAGAATTCCAAAAGAAGTTTTGGAGAAATGAAAATAAAGATCCTGTCCTTACATAGGAATATTAAAACGGTAACAATGTCAATCTTTCCTAAATTGATTCATAATTTAATAATAATTATTTGGGAAGTAGAAAAACTGTAAACATTTGTATAGAAAAAATAAGTAGGAATAGTAGTGAAATTCTATTTAAAAAGGGTAATGACAGAACACTGCTCCTGACAAAAGTGAAAACACTACAACAATAAAATTCTGGCACTGGATTTTATTTTTTATTTTTTCAAGTTTTTATTTTAATTCCAGTTACTTAACATACAGTGTTAGTTTCAGGTGTACAATATAGTGATTCATACATCACCCAGTGCTCATCACAACAAAGGCACTTCTTAATCCCCACCATCTATTTAACCCATCCATTCACCCACCTCCCCTCTGGTAACCATCAATTTGTTCTCTATAGGTAAGAGTCTGTTTCTTGGTCTGTCTCTCTTTATTTTTTTCCATTGCTCATTTGTTTTGTTTCTTAAATTTCACATATGAGTGAAATCACATTATATTTGTCTTTCTCTGACTTACTTTTGTTGACTCTTTCCTTAGCTGTGCAGAAGCTTTTTATTTTGAGATAGTCCCAATAGTTTATTTTTGCTGTGGTTTCCCTTGCCGCAGGAGACATACCTAGAAAAATGTTGCCACGGCAGATGTCGGGGACATTACTGCCTGTGCTCTCTTCTAGGATTTTTATGATTTCATGTCTTACATTTAGGTCTTTAATCCATGTTAAATTTATTTTTGTTTATGGTGTAAGAAAGTGGTCTAGTTTCATTCTTTTGCATGTAGTTGACCAGTTTTCCCAAAAGCATTTGTTGAAGAGACTATCTTTTTCCCACTGGATATTCTTTCCTGCTTTGTCAAAGGTTAACTGAACATGTAAGTATGGGCTTATTCCTGGATTTTCTATTCTGTTCTATTGATTGATGTTTCTATTTTTGTGCTACTACCATAATGTTTTGATTACTATCACTTTGTAATTTAAAGTGAACTCTAGAATTGTGATAACTCCAGCTTTGCTTTCCTTTTTCAAAAGTGCTATTTGAGGTCCTTTGTGGTTCCATATAAGTTTCAGGATTATTTGTTCTAGTTGTATGAAAAATGCTGTTGGTATTTTCATATGGATTGTATTAAATATGTAGATTGCTTTGGGTAGTAGAGACATTTTAACAATATTCATTCTTCCAACCCATGGGCATGGAATGTTTTTCCATTTCTTTGTATCATCTTCAATTTCTTTCATTGGTGTTTTATAGTTTTCAGAGTACAGGTCTTTCACCGCTTTAGTTAGGTTTATTCCTAGCTATCTTATTTTTGGTGCAATTATAAATCAGATTGTTTTCTTTATTTCTCTTTCTGCCTCTTCATTATTAGTGTATAGAAATGTAACAGATTTCTGCACATTGATTTTGCATCCTGCAACTTCACTGAATTCATTTATAAGTTCTAGCAGGCTTTTGGTGGAGTCTTTCAGGTTTACTATATAGAGTACCATGTCATCTGCAAATAGTGAAAGTTTTACTTCTTCCTTACCTATTTGGAAGGCTTTTATTTCTTTTTGTTGTTTAACTGCTGTAGCTAGGACTTCCAGTAATACGTTGAATAAAAGTGGTGACTTCTTCCTTACCCATTTGGAAGTCTTTTATTTCTTTTTGTTGTTTAATTGCTGTAGCTAGGGCTTCCAGTAATACATTGAATAAAAGTGGTGAGAGAGGACATCCTTGTTTTATTCCTGACCTTAGGAAGAAAGCTTTCAGTTTCTTCCTAGTGAGTATGATGTTAGCTGTGAGTTTTTCAAATATGGCTTTTATTATGTTGAAATATGTTCCTTCTAAACCTACTTTGCTGAAGGCTTTTATCATGATTGGATATTGTACTTTGTCAAATGCTTTTTCTGCATCTATTGAAATGACCACATGGTTTTTATCCTTTGTCTTATTGATGTGATATATCATGTTGATTGATTTGAGAATATAGAACCACCTTTGCACCCCAGGAATAAATCCCACTTGATCGTGGTAAATGATTTTTTAAAAAATATATTGTTGGATTTGGTTTGCTAATATTTTGTTGAGTATTTTTGCATGTATACTCATCAGGGATATTGGCCTGTAGTTCTGTCTCTCTCTCTCTCTGGTGCTTTTACCTTGTTTTGGTGTAAGGGTGATACTGCCTTCATAGAATGCATTTAGAAGTTTTCCTTATTCTTCTATTTTTTGAAATAGTTTAAGAAGAATACATATTAACTCTTCTTTAAATGTTTGGTAGAATTCTCCTGTGAAGCCATCTGGTCCTGGACTTTTGTTTGTTGGAAGTTTTTTTGATTACTGACTCAGTCTCCTTGCTGGTAATCAGTATGTTCAACTTTTTTACTTCTTCCTGTTTCAGTTTTTGTAGGTTATGTGTTCCTTGGGATTTATCCACTTGTTCTGTGTTCTCTAATTTGGTGGCATACAGTTTTTGATATTTGTTTTTTTACAATTGTTTGTATTTCTGTGGTGTTGGTTGTTATTTTTCCTCTTTCAATTATGATTATAATTATTTGAGTCCTCTCTCTCTCTCTCTCCCCCTCTCTCTCTGATGAGTCTGGCTAAAGGTTTATCAATTTTGTTGATCTTTTCAAAGAACCAGCTCTGTTTCACTGACCTGTTCTATTGATTTTTTAATTAATGTATCATTTATTTCTACTCTCATCTTTGTTATTTCCTTCCTTCTCTTGGTTTTGGATTTTGTTTGTTGTTTCTTGTCTAGTGATAAAGGAAATGTTCAACTTTTAATGTTTGTGGACCCTGCTCCTGGACTCCCATGGAAGCTATACTTTTATCAGAATCAGAACGACTTCAACAAACTTCAAAGTATGGGCTCTTTATCTTGCCTGAGTACACATTGTACATCTGTTTTGTAGCAAATAACCAAAAAAGAAACATTTCAAACTAAAGAGTAAAAATCTCCCTAACTTCCATTCCCATAGGTCTGAAGCCTACAACCTTGCATATACTAAAAGCATAAGATAAAGTTTGTAATTTTCTGAAATGTCCTTCATCATGATGATTTGTGACCCTTGATGAAACAAAAAACATATATAACCCTGATTAAACATTCCTTTTCCAGAGCACTTTCTTCCATGTTAAGACTGTGTATCTTGGGTGGCTGTCCTCACTTGGGTTTGAATAAAACTCTCTTCCCTTTTTTTTTTTAAAGAAATTCTAAAAGTTTTTTTTTTCCTTCCAAGTTTTTATTTAAATTCCAGTCAGTTAACATACAGTGTAATATTCACTTCATGAATAGGATTTAGTGATTCATCACTTACATACAACACCCAGTGCTCATCACAAGTGCCTCCTTAATACCATATAACCCATCCCGTCACCCACCATTACTCCAGCAACCCTCAGTTTGTCCTCTATAGTTGAGTCAGTTTTACAGTTTGACTCTTTTCTTCCCTATGTTTATCTGTTTTGTTTCTTAAATTACACATGAATGAAATCATATGGTATTTGCCTTCCTCTGGTTTATTTCACATAGAATAATACTCTCTAGCTCCATCCATGTCATTGCAAATGAAAAGATTTCATTCTTTTTTATGGCTGAGTAATATTCCATTGTGTATATACACACACACACACACACACACATATGTATATATACTTCTTTATCCATTCATCACTCAATGGATATTTGGACTCTCCATAATTTGGCTAGCAGTAATAATGCTGCTATAAACATCAGGTACATGTACCCATCTGAATTAGTATTAATGTAAACTGTGGGTAAATAGTAGTGCAACTGCTGGATCCTGGGGTAGTTCTATTGTGAACTTTTTGAGGAACCTCCTTACTGTTTTCCAGAGTGGTTGCACCAATTTGCATTCCCATTGTCAGTGTAAGAAGGTTCCCCCTTTTTCCACACCCTTGCCAACATCTGTTGTTTCCTGTATTGTTTACTTTAGCTATTCTGGCAGGTGTGAGGTGATATCTCATTGTAGTTTTGATTTGTATACTCTGATGACAAATGATGATGAACATCTTTTCATGTATCTGCGAACCATCTGTATGTATTCTTTGGGGAAAAAAATGTCTATTCATGTTTTCTGCCCGTTTATAACTGGATTATTTGGTGTTGAGTTTGGTAAGTTCTTTATAGATTTTGGACACTAACCCTTTATCAGATACGTCATTTACAAATACCTTCTCTCATTCTGAAGGTTGCCTTTTAATTTGGTTGATTGTTTCTTTCACTGTGCAGAAGCTTTTTTATCTTGATAAGGTCCCAAGAGTTCACTTTTGCTTTTGCTACCCTTGCCTCCAGAGATGTGTATAGTAACAAGTTGCTACGGGCAATGCCAAAGAGGTTTCTGCCTGTGCTCTCCTCTAGGATTTTGATGGTTTCCTGTCTCACAATGAGGTCTTTCATCAATTTTGAATTAACTGTTGTGTATGGTGTAAGAAAGTGGTCCAGTTTTATTCTTCTGCATGTTGCTGTCCAGTTTTTAACAACACCATTTGTTAAAGAGACTGTCTTTTTTCCATTGGATATTCTTTCCTGCTGTGTTGAAGACTAGATTGATCATACACTTGTGGGTCCATTTCTGTGTTTTCTATTTTGTTCAACTGATCTGTGTCTGTTTTTGTGCCATACTATACTGTCTTGATGATTACAGCTTTGTAATACAGCTTGAAGACCAGAGTCGTGTTGCTTCCAGTTTTGCTTTTCTTTTCCAGTACTGCTTTGGCTATTCTGGGTCTTTTGTGGCTCCATACAAATTTTAGGATTGTTTGTTCTAGTTCCATGAAAAATGTTGGTGGTATTTTGATAGGGATTGCATTAAATGTATAGATTGCTTTGGGTAGTATAGACATTAACAGTGTTTTTCTTCCAGTCCATTGAGCATGGGATGTCTTTCCATTTGCATT